GCCTGTCCTCTTTCTCCATGGACGCGCCTCCCACGTGCGTCTTACGCCTGGTCGCCGCGTCGACAATTCTCGGATCCAGTTCTTCGTCGCTGTACAGCTCGTCCTCGTGCTTGACTAGATCTTCGTCCGTCACTGGTCGCAAGTCCACCACGCCCATGTAGTTCTGCACGTACCTCTTAGTTTCTTCACATGGCATGCCGTTCTTTAACCACTCTAACGAGGCCTCCGCCCACGACCCTTGCGCTCCGCGGAAATCGCGCAGGTGCGGTACTCCACAATCGACATCGTCAAGAAGTGTAAACGCCCTGAAATATACCATCAACAAGAGCCCGTTTCTTTCCTCCTCCCCCGTTCCGTGTTTCGGCTGCGGCGCCCCATGAAAACTTGGGTTCCTCGGGCGCTCGTTCCGCACCAACACCCACGTGTGTCTCAAGGTTTTCAGTTCCGGAACATCCGGAAACGGCACCCAGGAATAACCACCCCATTCGTCCATTATCACATAATCCACTCCGGCTTTCAGCTGGGCTCCCGGCCGTGCCCCATCCGCGTCGGGATTCGCTCTCTCCTGGTCGGCATCGCGAACCTTCTGAATTCCGGATTGCGTCAGTTGCGCTTGGTAATCGTTGCTGGCCGCAGCTGCTACCTCAGCTCCGGTACGGAGAAATGCAGCCAACTCGATGCGCCAATACCGCAGGAACTCATACAACGATAGGTGTGCCAAGTCGGGCGCTCAAAGGAGCGTCCACCGCCGCATTTTTATTCCCGCACATTTTAATCATTTTAGTTCCGCATTTTATTCATATCAATTTTTTTTGCCCTCCCGCATTTTCAATATGCCATTTCCGCATATTTCCCCCCCCCCCGCATACCGCATATTTATTTGCCACCTCCCGCATTTTAATTATCGCATGTTTGGCCTCCCCCCCGCTTTATAATGTTTCCCCCCGCGATATATTCATTTGCCATTTCATTCATTCTCCGCATATTTTTGTTTCCCTCCCCCCGCATTTTATTATTCCGCACCGAACCGCATTTTTTCATTTCACACCCGCCCGCATTGTCTCATATTTTTGTTAATGCCATACAGGTACACTGGACTCTTAGACACAATTCGAACCTTTTTCGACCCTTCGCGTTTGTCCGCTTCCAGAATCCCCGACGCCGACACGGCAACGTCGACGCCGTCTGCACAGATCTGCTCCGCCATTCGTACGGCTTCCGCTCCCGGGATCATAGCTGTCTTCGCAGTCTTGATACTCTCGGCACCAGTCACGTCTCTAGGGTCTCGGTACGCTCGCAGATTCGCACTCTCCTGCGCTGACCGCACCACGCCTCTCCCGTACATGTCACTGAGAAACCTCTTCATGTGCCTGTTCGCTCGGTACGCCGCGGTCCGGTCCTTCGTCTGCTCCGCCAGCGCGTGGTGGCCCTTTTTGATCTCCCTCACCTCGTTGAACGACGGGGCACACCGCTTGCACTGATAGTCCGCCGCATACCCCGCTGCTGCATTCTGCGCTCGTTGCGCTGCCAGAACCATGTCTACGGGTCGATCCGTCTCCCAGCACCGCTCTTCGCACACACAACTGTCGTGCGTCGCTTCCGTCACTGGGAACCTGTACGGGATCTGCAAATCGCTGTTAAAATTCAACCCCACCGCGCCGCTTAGCATCGCTGGCAGCGTTCCGTTCAGGTTCTCTTCGTTCATGGGCCCGTGCAAGCACCCTGTCATGTTCCTCCCCCCTGCTCGCGGCATATCGCGGTTTTTCAAAAAAACCTTGGCACAACACTACTGCGCGATCTACGAGCCACGTCGTGCGCGGGAAAAAGCTTTTGCACTGCGTCATGTCGTCTGTCCTCTGACAATGTGCCAACGGTACCACGCGCTGCAAACGCTTACTCCACTGGTGCACGTGGTTCTGTCGAAACTCCTGCCCCTTTTGCACCCAGACACCGAGGTACTCTCGCAGCCAGGTTCGCCCTTCCTCAATTCCCTTGTCCCCATCTTCTGTTACCCCATTGCCGCTCGTTGATTTCCTACCGCCTCCTTCCGACCCTCCCGAACCATTAGTCTGGCCGCTGTGTAAGTACTCCGGCGCTGCGACCAGATCCGCGGTCTCGCGGTACGTGGGCCACGCCTTCTCCACCTCCGTTTTCCTGCCCCTCCAACCTTCTACGTCAGCGTACTCCTGACGACTCGCGTTCCTCTTGTACCTCTTGTATTCTTCTACCAGCCCCTCTAGCACATCTGTCGGCAGCTGTAGCAGTTCGTGCAACGGGGTATGCTGGTGCAAACACTGAACGAATACTTGCACGTGCAAATGCAGACTTCCAGCCGACTTCTGAGCTTCAATGCTGCCGTACACCCCGTCCACGCGACCCAAGCACCCACCCGCCGCCGTCGCGTTGCTGCCAAGCAAATCCGCGCACTCGCAATCTGGGCACCTCGGACAATACCGCATGCCCAATATGTACTCAAACACAAGGCCCACGATTACCCGAAACCCGTCGACGCCCGCCAGCGGGCCCCGAGCCAGCACTGCTCTTCTCTCGTCCGACGCGGGAACGGCATCTGCCAACATCGCCAGAGGCACTGCCATGTCAATGTCGTCATCACCCTCTGCCCCCTCTGTGCCCGATCCGCCCTCCCCCGCCCGCCCGCGCCGATCTCTCGTCACGGCATGTCCAGATATTTCATCCTTGTGCGCCAGCGACGGCTCCCACAACCCGCCATGCGTGGGGCCGTGCAGTTCCCGCGCAGCACTACGATTCACGGGGTCCTTTCTTCGAGACCGCGACAGCCGCGCCATTACCAGGTTGCGCCTCTCGTCTGGGGACATGGTGAAAAACAACGGTACCCCGTGGGCGATTCGAGCAGCATGGGTGTCGTACCTCATGAGCGTCCGCACCTCGTTGGTCCCTTCGATCTTGCGAGCGACCGCGCTGGCTCCTGCAGCCAATCGTTTCGCTATCGGGTCGAGCGACTTCACATATTTCAGCTTCGAGAAATCTCCGCGCGCGTTGGAGGATTTCCCGGTTGACGGATCCTTGTACGTACCATGCAAAGCATCTACGATGCTCACGGCTGCCTTCTCGAGTTCGCCTTGCGAATACTGGCATTCCGTCTCCCCGTCCTTTCTATAGTCCGCCAAGCGGACGGATCGGGCCATATTCACGGAACTTTGAAACAAAACCGACGACACCGTAAAACCAAACCGCCACTCGCGCCGGAATTGAGACTCCACCCGACGCGTCATGATGCGCGCCCACAGAGCCAGCTCCACGCGGGGCGCCGCTGGGCCACGTCGATGTCGCGCATTCTCCTGCCACTCAGGCATGTCCGGCATGCCCACCCCGTACTTGAAACAAAACGGGAATGCCACGCCGAAAAACCACGGCACAAACTGATTCATCATCGCACGGCCCGGATACACCACGTACCGAATGCGGGTCGCGTCTGTCTCCAGCATCTCCCAAAGCCGAAATTGCAATGTCTCCGTATCCACGTTGGCCGCCTTGTCTCCCATTCTGCTCGTCCTCGCAAGAGCACGCTCGTCCCTGTCTCCACCGCACGGGCACTCGGGTCTGTCGCACCTGCCTGTCCACGTACTTGCCAGACGCAGCGCGAAGCTTTTCGCTTCCATTGCCAATGCGCCAGTCTGTACGACCGCGTTTGCGGCGCGCGGCCTGCCCGACACATGTTCAAATGCACCCTGCCTCAATCTGTTTGCATCCACCTCGTCCACCGACGACTTCTCCATCATGACGGCATTCGGCGTACGCAAGTCCATGTCGCGCGCAGCCGCTCCCACCGAATCTCGCGCCCCATCACAGGGCGTCGCGTTCTTCTGCACCATAAGCTTGTCCAACGTGGTGTCGTGCGGAAGCAGCCGGACAATCTCCGGAGGCACGCCGTCCTGCGGCAATTGATCGGCCTTTCTCTCCATCGCCTCCACGTTGACATTGGCGAAAGCTCGGTGCCCGCGGTGCTTCATCATCTTGATGTGGCGCTTCGCAACCTCGCGCCGTACATTTGCCTGATGAATGAAACGCGGCAGGTTGTCCTTGCTCGTGGCGTCGTTGACTTTTAGAAGGATCTGCACCACCGACCCCAATTTCTCACCCACGATTGGCACCGCCGAGTCGCCGCCCTGGCGCCCTTCCTTCTCGAGCTGACGGAGCTCTCGTAATATCCCCTGCCACGGCAGCAAGAAGCTCGTAGCATTCCCGCGCGCCGCCAGACGCCCGCTGTGGAACCCTGCCGTGCTGTCAAACAGGTTCTCTCTGCCCGCACTGCTTTCCCGGTCGTTCTGGCACTTCACCTCCAGCGAAAAACAAATCATCGACGTAATGCAAGGGCTGCAACAAATCATCTCCATCACCATCATGCCCTCGGTGTACATGCGATCTGGCGCATAGAACGCCATCAAGTCGTTCGCAAGGCTCCGGCGCGGGACCGCCGGGGTCGCGGCAACTCGCCGCCGATACGGCGTTTCCACCTCTACCTTGCATTCCTCGCAAAGAGGCACTTCGCATTCGGGACACGCGGTTCCCTTCTCCTGGCACCCCCTGTGGCACCGCTGATCTTCGGGGCAACGCAGAATTAACACTTCACCGCACGGTGTCGGCACTTTCACAAGCCAGTCCGTGAAGTCTTCCCGATACCACGCCTCCTCGAGGTCCAATGCGCTGTTCCCTGGCTCGTGACAGTAGTCCCGCAGGTACGCGTCGATGCTGAACCGCGCTTGCACTTCCTTCATGGTCCAATCACCAAACCGAACCACCCGCGTCGGGTCGCCCACGGCTGCCTTAAACGGTTGCTCCCAGGCAATCTGGTTCCCCCGTCTACCTTCCACCCAAGGAAACGTGCAGGCGCACAGAAGACAAATTGGAGACGCGATGCTCTTCTGTTGCGTTGCTTTCGCGTACATGGCCAGGCTCCGTCTGTGCAAGGAGTATGCCGCTAGCGGCGCACCACCCCGAACAGCACGTGCAACGATTGCATTGTACGCCGCCGTGATACGGAGGTCCTCGTCCTCGTCCGCTGGATGAACAAGTTCGGCGATGGGCAGCACGACGGAACCGTGCACCTCGCGGACGTGCCCGCACAACTCGCCTACTACCTCCGACCGCCACGTACATCCCACGAACGCACAGTGCACGACTGGCAACTCCACGGCCATGTCCTCCGCCAGGGCTTGCGACCATGGTTGCGCGGGGTCGTCTGGATCCGCGGGCACGGTTGGGTGACGCCGTACACTGGCTGCAGCAGCTGCCACGAGGACTTCTCGGGTCCGTCGGGGATCTTTCGACGCCGCGTCTACGCCGACAGTGTAGAACGCCTGCTGCATTGCGTCCGCTGGGGGGGCGCCGTCTCCGACGCTCCCCGATGGATCTTTCTCCTTTCCTTTCTCCCCGGCCGCGTTTCCACCGCCACCCGCTGCCGATCCGATGGCGCTTCCCGCGCAGTCGGCGGCGCACCCAGCCGCGTCGCCACACCCCCCCCGCTCCACGCGGCAACCAAACCTTTCCTCGATTTGCCGCTGTCGCCCACGGTGGCCCCAGCCCGCCGCCGCTTGCGTGCTCCGGCTTCTTGTGCCCCGGGCTCATGGCCAGGTGGTGGCGGCGCCAGCGCGCCCGAGGCGCTCGCGCCGGGATCACTCGCGCTCTCTGCGGTGATTGCTCTCCGCCGCTCACGCGCCACGTCCCTTTCCAGTTCCATGCGCGGCGGCGGCGGCGTTACTCTTGGACGCTCCTCCACCCGCCTACCAGCGCCTGGCACTCGAGTGGACCGATCAGGCTACCAGATCATCGAACGGGGACGGGGCCACACCTGTGACGGCGATGCGCTCTGTATGTGGCGGCGTCGTGCTTCCGATTTGAAGTATTGTAGCTTACTGACAGACTCATTCACACTCAGATCCTATCAAATTCATAATCGTTCACTCGCAGAGCCACTCAGACTCAGACTCACTTGCTCCAAGACACTCAGACTCACACTCACACACTCAGACTCACTCGTACTTACTCCCACTCACCACTCACCCATGCTCAGGGACACCCGCGATCGCTGCTGGATCACCGAGATGTAGCAGGCACTGCGCTCAGGCCCCCCGCAATGGCGTCGACCAAGCGCGTTTTCCACGGGCCAGTTGACGCCCAGACTGGGGGAACCTCTCAGGCGTGACGCCCGCTTGGGGCGGCGGGCGTTCCTCTTGCCAGAGCCCCATGATCAACGCGATTGAAGGGCCCCTGGGACACACACACACAAATAAAGACACACACAGATAACCAGATTCCATATATTTTCCTACATGTTCTGGGTGTTTGTCTCCCCCCCACACTTCCCATATCTCCCCATCATTTTCTGGGGAATCGACGATTCATGGTGCGTGTGTGCGTGTAAGTGTGTGTGTGTGTGTGTGTGGGTGTGGGTGTGGGTGTGTGTGTGTGTATGTCTGTGCGTGTGTGTGGGTGTTTTTGTTCCCCCTCGACGATTCATGGTGTCTGTGTGTGTGTGTGTGTGTTTTTTTCCCCCTCCTGAACGATGTAGGCGGGCATGGCCCTTCGGCCTCCCAGAGCGGGTCAACGACTGGGCGCGACCCACGGACCCAGGGCCTCCCGGGCAGCAGGCCGCTCGGGGCGGTGGGCATGTCTCTGCTCGGAGTCCCATGTCCGTCTCGATCTACTGCGGGATGACGACTAATTAAAAATTTTGCGATTGGAAAGAACGATAAAAAACATAGCTTCTGCGATTTCTGCACAATTTTCTGTCTGTAGGAGAACGATTAAACAAATAGTGTTCCAGCCCGGGGCCGGTTTTTCCTAATCGTCACCTTGGGCACCGCCGCGTGAACACGACCCCCGGTAATTTATTAGCCGTCATCCTCTTGGGGCGGCGCCGGAGGCGCCGCTGGGGGGCCCCGGCGCCGATCCGAGAAATCCGCGCGGACCTCCGAGTTTTTATGTTTATGTCACTGTTCGTTCCCCTAATCTAGCAAAGGCTGTACTTTCGCCTGCCAGGCGGGTGTCGACCCGGAGTGTTCCACAGTTCCGTTCGCGCCTGGATCGTGGGGACCTCCAAGCTTGCCCTCGCTCGGACGTCCGTTTGCTCGGTTTCGTACGTGCACTGTTTCGCAGGATGGCCCAAACTGCTCCTCGATGGGTTTCGCTGAGATGACGCGCACACGTCCGAGCGATGCCACGTAAAGCGCAAAGCTGGTTTGAGGCGTCCGGAGGCCCGAACTTGGCTTCCACGACACGAAAAGAAAGACAAACCATCCGCCTCGATTCTCCGATGTACCAGATGCCTGGGCCCCCTGTCTCACGACGAGGGCAGGATGAAAGCAAGTCCGGATGAGGACAAATCGCAAGAAACTCTGAGCGCTGGCAAATCTGGAGAATGCACCGGGCGCCGCGGCCGTTCTACAACGTGCCGGAACACTCTGGAGCGAATCCCCCTCATCCCGGGCCTGCCTGACTCCTCCTTCTCCCTCCCCCTCCTCCCCCTCCTCGTCGACCCCTCCTCCTCCCCCTCCCCCCCTCCCTCCTCCTCCTCCTACTCCTCCTCCTCCTCCTCCTGCTCCTCCTTCTGCTCCTCCTCCTCCTCCTCCTCCTCCTCGCCCTCCTCCACACTCCTCGTCGCCGACATGCCTCGCATGGGCATGTCCTACGCCGCAGGCGCCTACACGCCACCACCTTGCCGGGCCATAGCCCACCTGGGCAGCGGCACGGTGTGCACGCGCGCCCCCCTGGCGCCTCGGCCGGGAGGGCGCATCTGTACACGCCCTGCCGAGCCCGAGGAGGGTTGCCCTGGCTCGGCGTGGAGGTGAAGCACGGCTGCCTTCTGAGGGAGGTGCCCTCCCCGAAATGCGGCCAGTACTCCCTCGCTCGGCGGCGTAAATCCGCGAATTCCTGTGGAAACGGGACCCGTCGCTAATCCACGCCCCTTTGGTCCATGTTTGCGATCGCCTGATAATAACAAGCGTGGGAGAGTATTCCCCCGACGGAAGTCAACCTCGCCTCGTTGTCGCGACGCGACGGGGGTCGGAGCGCCTTCGGCGCGCGGTGTCTGCCCGCGACGAGGGTCGACGTGGGCGGGAGTGACGCCCCTGCGACGCCACTTAGAAACTCGGAGTGGGGAACACTCCCCCGCCGCCCAGAACTCGAAGCTGGCGCGCGCGGGGAAGACTGCGGCCGAAGTGCAACTCATCCAGCCCACCGCCAACATTGATCTTTGGGGGGCGCATTGGCAAATTCAGGGGGACGTAAGACCCGGGCACAGGGGACTCGGAAATCCCCGACGAGGTCGTCAAAAAAATGGCGAGGCCGAGCCTGCATTTTGACGAGGCCTCCCGCTGCAGACATCCCACGAAACTCCTACTCGTCAAAATCCGAGTCGCGGTCGCCAAAAAACAATGGCGAACCCGAGTCCTGGCAAACCCGGGTCTTACGCTCCCCCGACAGATGAGTGTGGCATGACTGTTCCCTAACTTCTTCCCGGGCCTGTCGCTCGGACGTCCGTTCCCCGCGTCTGCTTCGGCCGCGCGGTGACCCCCCAAGATGCCCCCCGATGGCCCTTGCCGACAAAACAAGCACACAGACACAGACACAGACACAGACACAGACACAGACACAGACGCAGACACACAGACACACACACACACACACACACACACACACACACACACACACACTCCTAAGTCAAGACATCGGAGGTCTGGGAACCGTGCACTCCGTGGCAGACCCAGACGTCCGACGTCTTGACGTTTTCAATGCGCGGCCCCTGGGCCCCTCGACCACTTCCCGGGGACCGTCTTTTCATCCCGGGTAGTTTTTTGACGGCCCCGGGGCCCGTTGAGGGCCCCCAGCGCCCGCAAACTGCCAAAAACCTCTGTCTCGAGTTGTTCGAGACGTCGGAGATCGGCCGAAATCGACTCCGAATCCATCCCGGCGGCGGCGACGTGAGCGACAGCGGCGGCCGAGACGAGGCGCGCGCACGCGCGGCGCGCGGCGCCGGCCCCCGGGCCGCGGCCGCTGCCGCCCGCCCCGCACAGCTTCGCGCGCCGCCCTGGCTCGGGCCTCTGAAGCGGCAGGGCCGCGCGCGCGCACGCGGCTCGGCTCGGCTCGGCTCGGCCGCCGCCGTCGTCGTCCGTCGCCGCCGCCGCCGCCGTCGTCGTCGTCCGTCGTCGTCCGTCGTTTGTCCGTCGTCGTCGTTCGTCGTCGTTCGTCGGTTACCACTCGTCGTTCGTCGTCGTCGCGTCGTCGTCGTCGTCGTCGTCGTCGTCGTCGTCGTTCGTCGTCGTCGTCGTCGTCCTCGTCGTCCGTTCGGTCGTTTCGGTTCTCCTCGTTCGTCGTCGTCGTCGTCTTTCGTCGTCGTCGTCGTCGTCGTCGTTCATGGTCCGGGCTCGGCCGTCGCCGCGGCCGCGCCGACTCAGGTCTGGTCCAGGAGGGGAGCGTCCAAGAGGAGAGTTCGCAGATCAGGGCCCGAGGCGCGTGCGCGGCCGAGAAGGGGCTAGGGGAACGGTAAAGACAGCAAAAGGGGTGAGGGCGATGAGATCTGGGAAGATCTCACGGCCCCAGCCGTGATATCCACCTCCTCGTCGCCCCTCCCCGCTCCTCGAACCATCTCCGCTCCCGGAGCTCCCAAGAGGCCCCCGACCCCACCTTCAATTATCGATTTCGCGTCCTCCACTCCGCCTCACCCTCCCCGCCTCGCCTCCTCCTCCTCCTCCTTCTTCTCCTCCTCCTCCACAAAAAAACAAGGGGTCGGCGGATGTGGCGTAAGCCTATAGAATCAGGTCCTGCGGCTTGGGTCTGGGTGGCCTGGTGGGCGGTGAGAACCCACGCGCTGCAATCTAGCCTGCGACAGGCCTGCCTCCTCGATGTCGGTCCGAAACGCCAGCTGTCTGGGACTGTCGGGGCTCCCGGGCGACGATCATATCGATAGTCTACGCCCTCGCGGCCTGGCCTCCTTGGGGCGCGATGCGGTGGGCACGCCTTCGCACGGATGCTTTCCGAGCGGGGGCTCCGCGGCAAACGCGTTCCACATCCGCGGGGCCGCGGCCCAAGGGCCGGGCACGCGAGGCCGTGGGGCTGCTGGGCCGGCCGCCTCCTCGACAGGCCGCCCCCCCCGCCCCCTGCAGTGCCCGCGGCCGTGTGCGCGCGCGTCGCTGGCCGGGCGCCTCCTCGTAGCCGCTGGACCACTTGAGCGAGGGCACCTCGGCCACCGCCTTGCGCAGCACGTCCGGCTGGCGTCGGGCGCTCGTGAGGGGGGGAGGTGGAGGGAGGGGGCGGGGAAGGAGGAACGAGGGTGGGGGACGAGGAGGGGAAGGAGGAGGAGGAGGAGGAGGAGGAGGAGGCGGAGGAGGAGGAGGAGGAGGAGGAGGAGGAGGAGGAGGAGGAGGAGGAGGAGGAGGAGGAGGAGGAGGAGGACCGTAGCCATTTTGGCTCAAGTTGCCATTTCTCGAGGCAGCTGGCCGGGACAGCTTTTCGGAGTTGGGGGGTAGGCAGGCGGCTTTGCCTCGCCCCCCGCGCTCCAGTCTGTGAGCTCCTGTGGGAGCAGTTTCCGCCCGCGAGGGCACTCCACGTATCGCGCCCGCCAAGGGATG